GGATAGTTTTGGGGTGTAGAAGATTGTTTGTTTAGCAAAGATGCGAAACAGGCAGCAAGAGGCACCACTCTCGTTTACCCAATTATAAAAATTTTTTCTACTGTAGTATGAGCTAGTGTTTATTATATATGACAAGGTCTATATAAGAAGGTCAGGACACGCTCCCGTGATTCTATGCGGCAGCGGCCATTTTGGGACTTATCGATAGACTACACTCCACACGTAGTTCCTGCGTGAGTCGACTATTATTACTATATAAGTACTCAAAACTTTAAACAACGGGTTATCGTGTGGCACCAAATTGTAAAAGTAAATCTACAGACGTTTGATTGTTTAGATTTCCCACAAATAAGTGGAGGAAAGCAAAATGTAGCTTAGACATCAACAGATGGTTCATGATGCAGTTCAAAGAGTGTAAAGTTTGTAACAAGTGGTTTAAATGAGTGGATACTCTTCGCATCCATGAATGAACTATACATGGAAATTTATAAATGATATTGGCAATCTAGATAGAAAAGTGAAAAAATTACATTAATTATTTTATCAGATATAAAACAAAACATTTGTTTTAATATGACCATATTGTATTTAAAAATAAAATGATGATTGTATTGACTTATACTCTCAATATTTATTAATAAAAAATTGCAAAAAATTTAGTTTAATGTAAATTTTATTTAAACTGAATTATTAGAATTTTTATTTTAAAAGAAGTGATGGAAATCTAAATATATCTAATTCTTATAATCTAGAGATTTTATAATATGTAATTTTATTTATATTTAATTTTTTTCATTTGCTTAGCAATAATTAGAGGTATTTCTTGTTTGTCAAAGATAACAGGCAAAGTGTATGGTTTTTTTTTGGTACATCACTATCAGTAGAACCTATTTCTTAAGCTTCTAGCTTGAAAGCCTATTTATTTCTGGCAGTTTTTCCTTTAAATGCAATAGTACTCTAAGAGTCATTATATAGTTAACTATTTTAGTACATTTACTCTCTACGATGAATAATTCAACTCTTGAATGATATTGTATTTAAATTACCAACATTCTGTCATTCTGTTTGTGAAGTAGTAATCATTTAAATAAACAAAAGAAACATCTATTCTACATCAGAGTTGAAGCTTTCAACAGTAAAGTAATATTCATATACAAATTCAAATTATTAAATTTCAATGCAATGTTTTCTATTTAACAGTAGTTGGAGGGAAGGAAAATACAACATCCTATTGTAGTTCCATACGAAGCAGCTCATTTCTGGAGTGCCGTATCATTAAAAAACAGTTCTGGATATCTTCTAATTGATTTTTTAATGAAGAAAACAAATTTAATATATATTTCTAAAAAAATGTTTCTTCTTAAATCACTATTTAGTTGAAAACAATACAATATATAAATCATATTGCTATAAAAAAATAAATATCAATTACTTTTTTGGTACTGCCTTATCTAAGTTAGTTTTAAACTTGCTTCACTCCTACTTTTTTTTAAAAAAAAAGTATTAATAAACTAAGGCTTGTTTTTCTCACTTAAAAGAAAAGCTAGGCAGTTCTTGGTATACAATTGCTATTTATCTCTTTCAGTTCTCCGTTATGTTGCAAAGTGAAGAAATATTAAAAGAAGAATGCTGTATTAAGTCAAAACCAAGCATAATGACGGTCACTTATACAAAACATCATGAATTCTGTTTATTTCTAGATCATACACAGATGATCTTACCTATACCCCTGACCATCACCCCTGCATTTTCTAGTGAAGTCGGTAAGTATCGGCAAAGTACACAACGAAAGACTATTTACAGAACTAAAATCTGTCTTTTATAGTATCATTACAGTGGAAACTCCATTTTGAATTTGTGACCACCACGTCCCAGATTCCGGACGTGCTACCCTCCTCTTCGCCGTCCGAGAGCGTCATGTGGCAGGGTCCTTCCTCGCTGGACGTTCAGACCATGGTGTGGGACCTTCCGGTTATGGTATATCCAACTCATCCAGTTCACATAGCTCAGGGCCTCCCCATTAAGTGTGAAAATAGTTTAATTATTACTTAATTGTAAATTTTTAAAATAACCCCTCTTATATTCAATAAAGTTTATTTGTCAATATACAAATTAAAAATGGTTAAAATAATTTAAGAAAAAACTTGTACAAAAAGTTACTCGTGTGCCGTTTAAAATTCCAAAGCTAATCTTATAACTTAGATCTTTGTTTTACTTGGGAATTTGCTAATCACGGTTTGAAGACGAACGCTTCTCACTCGTCGTCGCCTAATAAACGCCTATTGGGATTGAATACTCTGAACAAGTCCTCTTCGAGGACCAGATCCGTGTCAAAGATGATTTCGTCTGCTAGAATTTTTGGCACCTACCAGAAAAGAAGCCAAACTAAACATCATGTGTTTAGAAAAGAAAAAAACAAAATTCAACATGCAGCAGTTTTATTTCAGTATCAAAATAAAGCGGTTATTCTCAAATATATGATAATATCAAATATAGATATATAAATCAGTACAAAAATGTGCTGTGTATGTTTACAAAATACGGGGGTCATAACTATTTTTTCATACGTAAAAAGTCACAGGTACACGATAAGTTCAAAAGACCTTATTTCTCTTGCGTTACCTCCGAAGTCGTGACGTTAGAGGTACTATCCTTGCCGGAGACCTACAAGTCAGGAACAAAATTAAACATGAGCATTTCTTCAATTAAAAAAATTGATAATAAAGGGAAGAGTTAAGTTTTCAAAAAAAGAAAATATTCCAAAGCAGCAAGAAAAGCAGCACATTTCTGTTGAAAATTTTTCAAAGATAAAGTACAGAAACTATTATATAGGAACAGAAAATGTATTTAAGAAAATTTAACTTACCAACCAAGTTAAGGGCTGAGAGCGAAGAATAGTTTCAAAATAACTACCGAATGTTTCTTCGATAAACCTCAAATTCTGTTGTACTTGTTTCAACATAACACTTGTAAGATCGTCCAGGCGGGTTGTCTATTAAATAATATTTAAGAAAAGAAAATTTAAGATGTATTTACAATAAAAAAAAAATTGTAAAAAACAAAAATAAGATAAAATAAATATGTAAATTTTTATTTTAAAAAAATTAACCCTAAGTGACTAGTATTACTAAAAACACTATTAAGG